GTCCTAGAAACATGGACAGTTTTAAAATTCACTCATCACAGAATCAGACATGAAGTGAAAAAGAAGACACAGGTGAGATTTTAAAATCCAGCCTTCCAACAGAATGAGAGATACAGCTGCTTGTACATGCACACTCTCATAAAATCCTGTCTTGCAGCACATGTATGGAAATGAAGCAGAATCCTTCATTATCAAACGCTCCTCAGCAGCCCACACTCTGACGTGACAGCACGTAATGCAAATATTTACAGCAGGAAGTCCTCAGGAATGATCAGTCACCATCAAATAGCAGCAGCTTATCAAGCAGTAATTCCTGCTGTGGGAAACCCAGCTGAGGCAGCATTTTCACACAAACACAACGAAGAAAAGGTCTCTTTCAATAATCAGCTCCAATTTACACAGCTTTTCCCACAATGCCAAGTGTATCTGACGAGTCCCACCACGATCTGTGAGACAGAAACAGTGGCATGAAAGCTCCAGAGGTTCAATCAGCTGAGGTTCTTTGCATCAAATACACAGTGAGTGAATGCTCCCAATTTAGTGAAGACATTTGTCCTGAGGCTAAAGCATTGATTCTCCACTTACTGCCATTTAATTGTGATGTATCAAATTTATCTTTTCAGGCTATAAACTCTTAGGGAAAAAGGTTCTTCTTCTGCATGCTGTTCTCATGCCAGCTTTATTTTACTACAAGAAAACCTTGTTCAGATTGAATTATTTTTATATTAACAATATAACACTTCCATATTGCTAGAATTAATTGCTGTAACCTGTATTTCTTTCTACAACATCTGATGTAAAGTTGAATCAGTGGTGGCAATATTATGAATAAATGAAGAAAAACAAATACAGGAACATTCCAGATGTTGCAAAAATGCTCTTTTCTACTGAGAAAACCGTTTGCTCATCCATACCATGGTAATGTTTATGCTTTAGTAGTATAAATTCCTGTGCACAAGCAACACTGCTTTCCACTAGTTCAGAAAAAAAGGAGCCAGCCAGGATGTTCCTTTTCTTTTTTTCCAGAATTGCAGGTGCTCTTTTTTACTGTCATTACCCCCAGGCCTATCTGCTGCCCCAAATTCACATTTAAGCTTCTGCCATGTATGAATTGACCAAAGTGCACAGCCCTTCATTCCCAGATATTCAAGCCTGATGATTCACAGGCAATAAAATGTGACAGGACTTTTCACCAACAAACGAACTGCAGGGCATCTTAATCAGCAGGCAAGGCAGCTCTAATAACTGGGTTACAGCATGAGGGGATAAGCTCAAACGGAGCAGAACATTCATAAGACGAGAAATGTGAGATGCTACTCAGCCTAAAGCACCACTGGTGCTATACAAAGACAACCAACTTACACAGCAGCTTTTTTTTTCCCCTTTGGAAGTGGGATTCCTTTCAACTGCCAGTTAGACAGTCTCAGCAGCATGTGAACAAGAATGGCAACAGCTTACAGCCCCCAGCATGACTACTTCCAGCTTCTTTTCCCTTTTCAATTGCAGCAAACTGCAGTCAGACAGACAATGGAGGATTCTTTTTTTTGTTGCGGTTGTTTTAGATCATGGTGTTAGGATACTGCTGGTTATCAGTGTTTTCAGACTTGTTGACAGGACACACACCAAGCAGCCAATATGCCAGCTGCTGCCCCTGATGCAGAAACTGCCACGCGCTCGGAGGCTTGGACAGACAGAACCCACTTGGGTGGCTCTGGCATCAGCTGCAGATGAGTTAGTGCTAGCAGTAAAAACACTGTCTCCAGAAGGTCACCTGTCCTCAAATGCTGTTTCTCAAAGGACACCTGCTCTGGATCTTTTTCCTAAGCTGTGCCAAACAAAAAGGTTTGCTTATGCAAAAAACACAAAGCCTCCTTCCTTCTGTCCCTCTACTGACAGCCTAAGAGTCAGTGAATTTATGACACTATCACTACAATGGCAAAACTCTCTTTGGTTTCAAAATACTTCAGGCTCGACATCCACAATATGATCCCTAATGAGATTTCCCTGTAAAGCTATTTTTTCTAACACACTTAGGCCCATCAGACACTGCTTAAACTCCTACTGGCTGCAATAGAGGGTCAATTTCCAAGTACTGACCACAGGATGGCTTCTTTCAGAGGGGATGTGCAGGAAGCTGTCCCAGGATCTGAAGAAAGCTTCCCCTGAGCAGTAGAGGCCCTCTCTGCACCAAGGCCACAGCAGTCAGAAGACCACAGCTTTTGTTGGTACTGTAAGAAATGCCATGCCCAACACCCTGGGGCAGTGCTCTGACCCCCTGGAGCAATGAGAACAACTGAGGAATTTGATAATCCTCCTCCACCAAGAAGGGCCCCATGTGTAAAGTCTCACTAGGGTAAGAAGTGTCAGGGACCTCTGGCATGAGCTACAGGCATGGTGCTTGAGTGGCACAGCCCTCAACTGATTGCACAAAATAGTGAGATCACAGTCAAAGGTGAGTGTTTGCAGTGCTAGAGATAATGTCTGCACTTTGCACAGTAATATCCAACTCACAGCAGCAGCTAATGCAGAGGCCCACGAGAACCAAGAGAAGAGTAGGGCTGAGCAGATCCCTTGTAATCCCCTCCCCCACCTTTGCAGTGGGAGTAGCACCATGTGCCAATGGTACAGGATGCTATAAAACATTCAAATACTTCAGCAATAAAGGTTGGACATGTACTGCAGAGAGGCAAATGGAGAAAGCCATCTGATGGTGTCAGCTGGGAGTGGAATTTGGAGGATCACACTTAGCTGAAAGCCTTCACACAGGCAAGAGTCAGCCCAGTATTTTCTTCCAAACTGTGAAGAAGTTTTAAAATCTATAGCACTTTTCCCTCTTTGCACTCATACAGAAGGCTCTGTCCAAGTTCATACTCCATAACTTTTGCTGCCATTTCATTGCTTTTCCTGTCTTCACTTAGTATTTGAATTACAATGCATCAAGTAAGTCATGCAACAAAATCAGGAAGAAGAAAACAAGAGACAAAAAGATGCTGCACCTACAGCACTGCTGGTTGGCCTTTCTGATCTGCAAAAACCCACACAGGCTATTTTGAAACCTAGAAAGGCAGGAAAAACTAGAAGATTACAGAAAAAGAATGCTATTTCCAAGGACACTGGCTGTGTCCTCAGACAGAAAACCATTATTTGATAACACTATTAATCATATTTTGATTTTTAGTTGTGTACAGTAAACTCAACTAAAGGTCATAATAGGCAGCCCTCATCTGATTTCTATAAAGACCATGAGTAGTGCATGAAGAGGATTTTCCTTTAAACACAAGTCCTGCCTTGGCTGTTTTATTTCCCCATAAATACATATGTAAAGGTCTCAGCTAAAGAACTTGGAGAGATTACCTATTTGCATATTACAAAGGCACAGGTCTCAGACATTCTTCTAATTTCATACATACTTCTGATACTTAATAATTAAAGAGTAACCCTTCCATACTAGACCTGAAAAATTTGTGCACTTGGCTCCAACTCAGGTCTAAGACATGGATGAGAATAATGCAAAAACAAATTCTAATCTCTCAGCTAATGGTATTCATTGCCTGGGTTGGCTGGCTTACCTTTCAGAGAAGACAGGGACTAAATCAATGGCAGACATTATCCCACTAAATTACAACAACTGGGAAATCAGCAACAAGTCCTGGGGCAACAAGATGTGACTCACTACAGGCTAAAAATAACTTTTCAGCATCCCTCACAATGAAGATATCCAAGGCCATATCCTAATGTTCTTCTGAAGACAGCTCAAGGAAACTCTCCAGGCTCTAAAACTGATGAATGGCTTCACCATGAGCACATCAGAAAGGTGTAATGAGACAAGAATGTCTTTTAGTCCTAAAAATGTAGGATGTACAGCAGCCCATACCCAGCATCTAGTTTGCAGATATATTGTATATCAAAAGAAGGCAAGGAGAAACCATCAAAAGTCTTTTCATGGCTCAAGGGTGAAAAAATGAATCCTTTCTGGCTCTGGTGGAATCAGACACAGCCAACACACAGCATGGGAGACTCTTCAGCCTTTCTAGAAATATTAAGTTTGGACTGGGAAAAAAAACAATAAAAAACCCACACCCAAAAAGCAACAACAACAAGAGGAACAAAAACAAACAACACTTAAAAAAAAGGTTAAAAAATTAAGTGATGTCCACTGAAACTGACACATACCCACAGGTAAGACAGTTCTTTCCTGAACCCATCTTCCAGACTAAACAATATCTGACCTAGTCTTTTTCTTATGCTGGTTGGAGTACAAGTTCTCAGCTCATGCAGGTCTCTGCCAAGCCTGGCATGCAGTGAAACACTGTCAGCAAGGCCAGACAAGATTTGGAGGTCATCAAGTCTCTTTGTGGGCTTCTAAAAGCTGTTTCACTCTCAGGGTGATAAAATCTCCCAACACCAGACTAGATATATAGCTTTTTAGAGCTATCTAAGCCATAGAGCTTTGCTAGGCTCTAGCAAATCAAAAGTGTTTTCAGTGAAGCCTCAATCTGTCAAAAATGATGTTCAGTCCTTTGATAGATCAGGTCCCAAGAGCCTACTTCTTACCACTGATGGGGGCATGTCACAGTTGTTCCTGGAACTCAGAGGCACTGCTGTAAAAATGCTCATTTTGAAAAAATCACTTTAAAAGAGGAAAATCTTTTCCCTTTCTGGACACTTACTGTATTTACTGTCCAAAGATCCAAAATCCTCTAGGGGTATCACCCAAATCTCACAGCACCCAGCAGAGACAAGAGAACTTTACAGAACAGGATACAGCTAGGATGTGGGACTTGCCCCAGATCAGAGAGGTTATCAGTGACAGATTCAGAGCTGAATCTACATTCTCTTGGCATACAAACCCACATCTTCATGGAAAGATTACTCACTGTACCACAATACAATGAAGTGCAAATATGTTCAGTTTTGATATAAAGATATATAAAGCATGCAGGGAAAGGAAGGCATAGCACAGTAGGATATACATAGGAAAAATAATAAACGTAACTTACAGGAGCTGCATTGTTTTTCACTGTCACGCTTGGAGTCGTGGCTCGTAGTGCCCCACTCACACCATGGTAGTACTTGAAGCAGATCTTTGTTTCAGCTGAAAAAAAATCCAAAAGAGATATTTAGGATTTAAAAAAATGCTAGGGGCAATCTGCATGATCAGCTACAGCTCACAGGCACAGGGCTGGCAAGTAGCTAAATTGCAAATGGTTCATCCTGGCTGGATGGCACAACAGGATACCTCCTGCCTCTGATCTCCCCCTTTGTCAGGGTGAAATCTGGAGTTTGGTTCATGGATTTAACACAGTTAAAATCCAAACCTCTTCTGAGCCAAAGTTACCACAGACAGACCTTAGAGCACATGTTCAGCATCCTTTAGGAAGAAAAAAAGTAGGGACATATAAATCTTCCCTGTTCAGACATACCAAGCACTAATGTGCAGAGAAATTTAGGAACTTCCTTAGGACAAGATTGCATAGCTGCTCATTGACAGGTTTTACTGTGCCAATTTGTTCTGACCTTGGTCAGGGCAAGGATGTAGATCTCCACAGATGAACTGCTTTGACAGTTACTACATTAAAGCATTTTCAGGAATAGCAGAGTACCACCAGACCCTGCCTTAGTGTATTTCCACTGACTTCTAAACATCTAAATTAGGTGAGGAACACAGGAAAGGTCATGAGTTTTCACACTCATAGTGCTGCTTTTTGCCACATGCATTGGCATTCAAATAAATAATATTGAGGGAAATTCATCTCAATAATTGTATCAAGGCACAGAAGTGAAAGCTGCTTGTTAATCAGCCCCTCACAACCCCACTTTCTTGTCTTCTACAAGAAGGAACGACAGTTCCAGCCAGCTTCTGTGTTGGTCTGTGACTACAAACAGATGCAAAGTGCTGCTATTTGCCTTCATGCCTGGAACTGGGGACTTGCTGTAGCTCATCCTGGCCTGCCTGCTGGCATGCCAGAATTTTCTTCCACAGTAAACTAGATGTGAACTAGCCTGGTATGTGCCTCGGCACAGTTGGGATCCAGCAATTATGCAGTGTTACATGTGTAACAGGTATGTTTGTGGGATCTGAAAAATGCCTGTTTAAATAAAAGCAGCTTTCACATCTTCTAGTTCTAACTGGATAATGACACGGAAATGTTCATCTGTTCCAAGACTTTCCTTAAGACCTTGCTTTGTAGCTGCTGCTGTAGCTCAGGGAAAACACCATCCTTTGCTGGTAGAGTCACAAAAATGCTCATTGCAACTACAGTTACAGTCCATGTGTGAAAACAATTAAAAAACCCATTTAATTGTTTTAACATACAAATTGTATTGCAGTTTTAATACCAGTAACAAAATTACTCAAATCACTGCAGCTGTGACAAAAAATATTAAGAGCTGAGACTGCAACCACAGATTATGGTGCTGTGATCTGCCGTTTGTAGATCCAAGAAACAACCATGTAGCAGTCCAGGTGGAAGCAAAACCTGGGACATGAAAAGTGGTGGACACCCTCAAAACCACAGGCCTGAAATGTTTACCCTGGTACCCTACACAGAAACATAGGTGGAAACAGAAATCCTGATACCTTTTGAAAGACAAAATAATTTTAGAAGTGTAAAGCCTTCCCAGCTTTCAGATGTCACTCGGGAAATGAAAAGCAAAGTGGTGATGTTCCCAAGTACTCTGAGCACTGCTCACTTTCAAGGGATTTCCCAGTTCTCTAACCTGCAGGAATGCACAGCATTTGAGTGTCCATTGATGAGAAGCACAGTGCCCTTTCACAGCACACTTAATCTGTGAAAACCATATTTTCCATCCCCAAACTCTGTTCTTCACCAGAGGACCAGGTGCACATTTCGCTCATACAGTGAAAATACAGCCTCTCCCACTATATGCACAATGTGCACATGTGTCCCATTTACTTCACAGCATTCCACAAGAATTGGAACAGAATATAGAATCCTTCAGCACCTCCATGAGGGGCTGTGGGGCCCATCCTGAGGCTGAATTCATAACTATACCCCCAAATGAAATTCTGCAACTTTAAGAGATTTACTTGAGGTGTCAGTACAGCTGAGCCAGCGACCCTGCTGTTGCACCTGGGAGCAGCAGTTGTTTCCTTTTGGCAGCAAAAAAAGCTGGAAGAGCCTGTGGGACAGAAAAACTGCAAGTCCAGATTGTATTTTCACGTTGTAATTTTCTCTACAGGACTTTTAACAGCTCAGCAGCTAACTCATTTACTCACTGAGAGGACAGCAAAAGCTGAGGATATCACAATAGCTAAAACATGCAGTTCTCACCAATTATTCAAATCTTAATTTTCTTCTCCCCTGGAGATTTTTAGCTACAGTTTTCATGGAACATTGAGAACTAGAATAAAGAGAAGCCTTTAAAAGAATAAAATTAACTTTTGTAGTTAATGAAATATAACTCCAGGTATTAGCTGTATGACAATGTTCAGACCCCACAGCAGGAAATCTTGTCATAGATTGATAAGTAGGAAATCAGTTACCATGTGAATCAGGAAAATTTTAAAAGAATCCATTTAATTAAACTAAAAGTATTAGAGATAACAGAAAGAGAGAATATATCCATATACAGTCAATCTGGGTATTTGTAACACTTTCAAGGACAAAGGATAACTAAGATGATAAATATGTCTTTGGTAAGAACCATGTGGTTACTGCAGGATCCTCTCAGTTTCATGTATTTGCAACCAAAATGCCCACATACAGGTGGAAACCACTAGAAAGCAACTCAAGATAGTTGCAAGTGTCACACCCAACCCAAAACAGTGGCACAGCTGGAGCCATGCATCAAGCAGAGGTAGAGGTGGTGATTACTGAACAGCAAAGATTTCATTCAGAGAACAGATCTGAGAGAAAATGTCGTATGGAGGCCTTCACAGGTTGAGAAATTGCTCTAGAAGCAACAGGGGAACAACATTTTCTGTCTTCTAGATTCCTCTCTCCCCTTTTTGCTCATATTGCTTTCAGATTGAAAATATTATGCAAATGTCTATTTTCAATGGAGAGAGGAAACTTTAGCAAGTATAAAGCCTGCAAAATTATATATAATTTCTTTAGGTGTAAAAACGCCATTAGGATCCTAGTTGGCCATTTTTTGGCCATGAACCATTCTTTACAAAAAACATTGCTGGTGCCATGTTTTTCACTGCAACAGAGTCCTAACATTTTAAGCCATCTGAAGATTGCTCTTGCATTCCTGAATCACCTCTGAGACATTTCCAGAACAGGTGCAGGAACCTGTGGGCTTGGTACCACTGCCTCTGCAGAGGGACAGAAAATACTGGAAGTATTGGTAAGGCAGTGATATAAATTAACCTGAATATCATCCAGCTGGCATTTGTAAATAATATGTAATTACAAAGACTGTTTGGATTGTAGCCTTGTAGACTACCTTGTTCTGAAATAAATGAGACGATTTAACTCAGTCCTGCTGCCCTAGCTACATGGCAGAGTGCACAGGTCGAGAGCAGGTGTTGTCTAGTTAATCCCCAGTCATAAATAAATGTGTACCATTGTAATTTTCATCTCTAATTATTTAGAGATCACTGGATCAGCAATGTAGTTATGATATTGAAGTCAGAAAGTAATGAGGTTAAATTCTTCTTTCAATTAGGAAATATGTCAGTCAATCTGGTAAATCTTCCAAGAGATGAGATGCCTAAAGATGCTCATGCCCATGGCAACAACCAAACTACCCAGCAATTCACATGGATAAAGAACAAAACAGCATTGTACTCCCTTTACACCAGGCTTGGTGTCTCCATTTGTGCCACTTTTGGCTGGAGTAATTTGCTTCACAGTGGCTGGTTTGGGGCTATGTTTTGGCTTCCTGCTGAACACAGGGGTTGATAATATAAATGCTGAACACAGGGTTTGATGTTTTTGCTGTTGCTGAGCAGGCTCACACAGAGCCAAGGACTTTTCTGCTTTTTGTACTGTCATATTGAGGATTAGACTGGGTGTGTATAGAAAAGAGGGAAGACACACATCTGGGACAGGAGACCCAAACAGACCAAAGGGATATTCCAGACCACATGACATCACACTCAGTATATAAAGTGGGAGGAAGAAGGACAAAAGAGGGAATGTTTGGGGTGATGGTGTTTGTCCTCCCAAGCAGCAATTATGTGCAATGCTCTCCTAAAGACAGCTGAACACCTGCTTGCCCACAGGAAGTGGTGATAGAATTCCTTGTTTTGCTTTGTTTGTGTGTATGGCTTTTACTTTCCCTACTAAACTGTATTTATCTCAGCCCACGAGTTATCTGGCTTTTACCCTTTCAATTCTCTTCCTGATCCCACTGGTGAGGGAATAAACAAGCAGCTGTGTGGGACTTTGCTGCTGGCTGGGTTTGAACCATGACACTGTCATACACTGACTGTATTACAGCTCTGTGCTGCATTGGTATAAATATGAAAATCCCCAGTTGTATGCTCAGATTCACCACTGATCACAGTGCATATCACATATCACAGATGCATAAAAAATACAGTTGCCCTAAAGGAAGCTGCTGTGCCCTCAAGGCAAAGCAAGGCAAGACAATCAGAACCAGGCAAGAGGAGGGGTGATTCTGTTTCCCTCCTTGCACCAAGCATCTGTGTGGGCCACACAGGTTATGAGGAAGGGAGGGGAACTGAGATGTACTTCATCCCTGGACACCACAGAGACCACTCCCTATTCAGAGGAAAGCACTGAGAAGTTTGACTTTTGCCAGAGAAACTCTGCCATGAGGCTTCATCTCCCCCACAAGAAAAAAAAGTTAATTTCACAAAAATTATTTCACTATCAAAGCCCTGAGTTATCTCAGTTACCAAATCAGTTTGGCAAATTAACTGGAACATTAATTTACCCGCTGAACATAATTCAGGCAATAGTTTACACTGCCTCTGCAACCACCCAACCCCTGAAGACACTCAGTTCCCTATGAAACTGAAGTGAGATGAGATAAAATCCAGTAGGGTCTGCTGATGAATTGCAAATGGAGGTACTGAAGGTTGAAAGTATCCAAGAGGTCTCCTAGTTCCCATCATCCAGCCACTTTTCTGTCAGTGTTATTTGTCCTGTTAGTTTA